GGGAGGGGCCCTGGACAGGTCTCCGTCGAGTCCGTCCTGGCGCAGAACTACTGCGACGTCGGCGGCCTCGGGAGGTGTGTCGCGGAGGTGTGGTTGGGAATTCGAACTTCGGAGAAGAGGTAGACGAGTTGGAGGAGGAATGTTTTGAGAAAAGGAGGAGGTCCTGCTCCGCCCCCTCTACCCCCTACTCCTCCACTCTCTCTCTCTCTCTCTCTCTCTCTTTCTCTCCTCTCTTTCTTTCTGCATGGTCGTGTGCTTCTTTCTTTCTCTATTTACATGTCTTTCTCCCTCGTTCCCTCTTTTCCTCTCTCTTCCTCCCCTTGGTCTCGGCTCGGGAACTTGTCCCCTGGCGCGAGCCCAGACGCCACACGCCCCGCGAGACGCGGCACGGCCCATCCCAGGCCAGGGCAGGTGTGTGCCACTTCCCCGGTCGGTGCACGCGCGCGCCATGGCCCCGAGCCTGGAGAAGAGATGCAGCTTTGGGTCTGTCCAGGTATTGGATGTGTTGGGTGTATTTTTCTTCGTCTGGCGCTCTTGTTGTTGCTGGTTGACGCAATCAGAACACTGTGACATCGAAAAGGTTTGCTTGACTGTGGGGGGCTACTGGCTTGTGTTTCAAAAGTACGTTTCATGGCATATCAGACTCAGCATCAGCCGTTTTCTTCTCTCCTTGTGAGACATTTGTGGTACCTCTTTCTGCGCTAGGTGTGGCCGTCGTTTGGAGCGCGGTTCCAGTGGGCGTGTTCAGCAGATCACTGTGTTAGCAGATGCAGACAGAAATCGGTCATTCAATTGGTATTCTGTCCCAACGACGTCCTGCGACTCTGTTTCTGCAGTCATAGTGTGCTAGACTGGCGCAGCAGGACTTGACTGTCTTCAGTAGCATGCGCTACCCTTGGCACGTAAGCTCATCTCATCGTTTATATCGTGGGTGCCTTCGTGGAGCTCACACAAAAATGAGACGGATGCTTGTGCTGCGTGCAGCGCTCGCGTATAAAAGAACGCGGGTCCCAAGAACCGTTCCCCCAAGGGGTCCCCCAACTGTTCCACACCACAAGTTTCCCGAATGCCCTCCGCAGCGCCGCAAACGCCCCCCTTCGCCTGTAGGGAGCCCCAAGACAGCCCTCAGCCCGAGGAGACCCCACAATGCCCCTGCGGCCCCCCCGCGCAAGAAAGCGCCAAGTTTGAACAAGAGAGGTTCGATGAGGCAGGCGGTCGGGGGTTGCTGTCTTTCCCAGCCATTCCGGCAAACCTGAGGACGAGAACAGTCAGTAGGGGAAAAAACACAGACACAATTAATCGTCGACGCCCAAGAAAATATGGGAAACTATGGGAATTGGGCGGGAAACAACCCAGAAAATATACGAAGATATGGGGAACCATTTTATTTGTGTGTATTTATTTGTGTGTCCTGGGGCCCCTTCAAACAGGGGGGCAGCAGGGCGGGGGAGGCAGGTGAGGAGAAGGGGGCAGGAGCAGGGGAAAACGGGAGGGACAGGGAGAGCAAGTGGGGAGGAAGGTGGGGAAGGCAGGGGCGTGGAAGCAGGAGGACGACGAGGATGCAAGAGGCAGTTGCTCAACAGGGATATGAGAAACAACAGGAATGTGAGGATGAGGGGAGGTGTGGGGACAGACCACAGGAGGGGGGGGCAACGGCACAATCAGGAATGGGGTGGGTTCCAGAATAGGACGATGACTTCAGAAGAAGTTCTTTCGACTAGATTCCGAGCGCCCGCGCGTCCGGAGGAGGCAAACGTAGCGAGGGGGGAAGGGCCATAGTAGCACGCGAATGGGGGAGACAGACAGTACCAGGGTGGCGAAGAGAGACACTGTGCCAGAGGAAATCAAGGAACGCGCATGGAGGATGCAGATCCGTAGCAGGAAGGGGCAGACGATAGGAGCGAGGAGCGCCACGACAGGTCAAGCGAGAGGCCCCCGAGGATATAGCGAGCAGGAGGGAGAGATACTACATGTCGAAGGGCGCCGTAGGACAGCCAAGGCGTAGCGAGTCGATCGCGTTATAGCGCACAGCTAGCGCAGGCTGGCGTCACCCCTTGACGTACCGAGCACGTCACGTGAAGCACACACACTCAAGCCCACCCACACACACAAACACACGTACACACACTGCACACACACACACAACCTGCGTACACGGCACACGCTCACGGCGCACGGACAAACACAGGCATACACAGCAAAACAATCACACACGAATGCACGCACGCACGCACGCACACATGCTCGCACGCACGCACGCACGCAAGCACGCACGCACGCTCGCACGCGCGCGCACGCATGCACACACACACACATTTACACACAAGCACGCACACGCACACAAACACACACACACACACGCGCGCACACACGCACACGAGTGCACACAAACTCGCATGTGTCCACATAGCTTGCACGACTGATTTGTGTTGTCCCCACGAGGTAGCATCATGAAGAAACGCAGTCCATTTGTATTGAGTCGGAGCCCGTGTGAGACGAGGTCGAGGAGGACAGAACAAGCAAAGGAGGCCCATACGTAGTGACATCTGGCGCAGTTGATCACAATCCCAGCGGTCTGGAGACGAACGCAAACGACGACGTGGAGCAGGAGGAGGAGGAGGAGGCAGTCGGTCGCCATTTCCTTCAATCGCCGAGCGTTGCATTCGCGATCTCTTGTGAAGTTCCTGTCCCGCCCGTTGCGCAGTATTTGAGCAGCGCCCCTCGGAACTGACTGGGGGAGCTTCAGAGCAGAAGAGGTTCAGGGCGTGTGCCAATCAGAGCGAAGAATCAGGCAAGTAGGATCTTCAAAGGAGGGTGCACCAGGAATGGTGGCGCGAGGAGAAGGACGAGGAGGAAGATGTCAGGGGAGAAAGTGTTGATGAACGATCGAAGGAACAAGCTTCGGATCCCGCTGATTCGTCTACCAACAACCCTCGCTGCACAAGACTACTTGCTGGAAGTGATGGGGAGGAGGAAGTGGAGCTGGAGGAGCGTCAGGCAGAGGAGGAGGAGGAGGAGGAGGAGGAAACGAAGGAGGAAAATGAGCAGCAGGAAGTGGTGGAGGAAGAGGAGCAGGAGTACCAGAAGCAGTCGCCCCGACCGTGAGGGTGCGATCGCCGACCTGCTCCGGCGCTACGTGGTCAAGAGTGCCCCGGCTGAGAACGGTTTGAGCAAGTTCCCGCATGTCCCAGATCCAGAGGGCCTCAGGCAGAGCCTGAAGGAGCACGACTCGGGGCAGCAGTATACGTGGCAGTCGGGGCAACTGTAGCAGCAGGTCTGGATGGTAGCTGCGGTAGTGGCAGTTGCAGATGGCAAATGTCAAAGTCGCAGTGGTGGTGAGGGTAGTGTTGGTTAGAGGTTGTGGGGTGAGATCGAATTGGAACGGAGTGCCCCCCACCCGGTAATCGATATCGATGTCGTTTCGTGTCGTGCGCGACGTGCGGGCGAGGCGAAGCTGCGCGAGGAAGGACGAGATCCTGCACTATGCAGGGGTGGTTCACTTCAGACTGTCTCCCCCCCGTGTGCGCCCTGGTGGGCCCAGGATGCCCCGGGGCTGTCCCATGATTGTCGCGCAGGTACAGTCGGGGCCCTGAAGAAGGAATCCTTTTCGTTTGGGAGGGGCCCCTTGTTCCTTAATTGTTTCGCAGCTTGCCTTGGATTTTCCTTAGTTTTCGATCGGAAATCGAAGTTTAACTTAGGGAAAAAAGGGGCCTCGTTCCTTATTCAAGGTTCCTTGGGTCAACGCCCCCGACTGTAATTATGCCGTGGTCGTCCAGCGGTTGTCCCGATGGTTGTCCTGACGGTTGCTGCTCTGGCGCTTGTCCAGGGGGTCGTCTCGCGGGTGTCCCGAGATTGCCCCGTGGTGGTCCAGTGGTTGGCGCGTCGTTGTCCCGTGGTTGTCCCGTGTGCGTGTTCCGCGGTCGTCGCGTCTCGGGGGCGGAAAAGAGGGGGGTGATGACTAGGGGGGGGGATATCATGGCGTGGGCCATGATATTTCCCCAGATTTCATGGCGCCTCTTCTTATTTCATTACGTCCCTGGCTCCCCCGCCGGGCCGCGCACATGCCGCCGGTCATGATTTACACCCCCCTCTTGGACACCCCCCTCTTGGCCGCTCCCGAGCGTCAGTTCTCTCTTGTGGGACCGGTGGGTAGGGAAGCCGACGGATGCAAGGCGACGTCGGCGGGTAATGTTGATAGTGCGATGCGTATGTAGATAACAAGACCAGTATGGTTTGGAAGCGGGTCTGGTCTCATGGGTGCTCCCATCACGTGAATCCTCCCCTTTCCGCCCTCCGCCTCCCTCTCCGTGCCCCAAGCGTTCGTCCCTCCCGTCCGCCTTGCGAGAGGGAATAGAAAGAGGAGCATGAGGCACCTGGATCATGACAGCAGGATTACGAGGAAAAGGCGGCGAGGGCGAAGGAGAAGGAGGAGGGGAAGATCAGACGGTGCAAAGGCGTCTTGAAGCCTGCGGGGATCGAACAGCGCCCATACCTCCTCCCTCCCTGCTCTCTAGTGTCTCAGAGATTTCCCGTCAGTCCTTCCGTCATGTTAGCGTGGATTCGCTGCATTCTTAATTCGACTCTGCTTACTGCCTGGTTAATGCTCTGGGCCAATGTCCACTGTTCGACCAGGGATCTTTGTAGTTGCGGCTTGCGGCAAGCCGTAAGAAAACATATCAAACATTCTAGAGGTAAACGGTAAGCGGTAAGCACTCAGCTTCCGCCTGTTGCATTTAGGATTACGGCTTACGGTGAGCGGTAAGCGTCGCCCCCCTCCAGGAGCCTTCCCAGAGGCTCCAGGAGGCTCCAGGAGGGCCTCATGGTCCACGAAGCGTCGCGGGCACCGAAAGCCCAAGTGGCGGCATAACACCAGCCGATTTTTGCAAAATCGGCGACAAGGGCGTACCTAATCGAGCGATGTTATGGCGCCGAGCCCCCTTCGCCCGCCCCCGCCCCTCCCCAGGAGGCCCCAGCAAGCCCCAGGAGGCCCCCGGAAAGCTACCAGGAGGGCCCAGAACGCCCCAGGAGGCTCCAGGAGGCCTCCCCAGGAGGTCCCCGTAAGCAACCGGCCGCAGAACGCACCAGGAGGCTCCAAGAGGCCCCTCAGGAGGCCCCAGGAGCGGCCCAGGGTCCACAAAGCGTCACCCCGGCCGATTCTGGCAAAATCGGCGACAGTTCTTCCAAAATTGACCAGTGTTATGGCGCCGAACACCCCCCCCCTCCCCAGGAGGACCCAGAAAGCCTCGGGAGGCCCCCAGGAAGCCACCAGGAGGCTTCAGACCGCATCATGAGCCCCAGGAGGCCCAAGGAGGGCCTCAAAATCCACAAAGCGTCGCGGACACCGGAAGCGAAAGCCAAGGTGGCGCCAGAACACCTGCCGATGTCGGCAAAATCGGCGACAAGTTCTTTCCAAAATCCACCGAGGCCCAAGCAAACCCCAGGAGGCCCCCTGGAAGCCACCAGGACGCCTCAGAAAGGCCCAGGACGGTCCAGGAGGCCCCCAGGATGCCCCAGGAGCGCCACAGGGTCCACAAAGCGTCGCGGACACCGAGAGCCCAAGTGGCGCCATAACACTGGCCGATTTTGGCAAAATTGGTCAAAATTTCTTCAACATCGAGCGGTGTTACGGCGCCGAGCATCCCTCAGAAAGCCCCAGCAAGTCCCAGGATGCGCCCAGGAAGCCACCAGGAGGCCTCAGAACGCCCCAGGAGCTCCAGGAGGCCCCAGGACGGCGCCAGAGTCCACACAGCGTCGCGGACACCAAGCCCAAGGGGCACCGTAACACCGGCCGATTTTGGCAAAATCGGCGACACGTTCTTCCAAAATCAACAAGTGTTATGGCGCCGAGCCCCCCCCCCTCCCCAGGAGGCCCCAGCAAGCCCCAGGAAGCTCACAGGAGGCCACCAGGAGGCCGCAGAACGCCCCAGGAGGCTCCAGGAGGCCCCCAGGAGGCCCCCAGGAGGCCCCCAGGAGCGCCCCAGGATCCACAAAGCGTCGCGGACACCGAAAGCGAAAGCCCCAGTGGCGCCATAACACCGGCCGATTTTCGCAAAATCAGCGACAAGTTCTCCCCAAACCGAGTGGTGTTATGGCGCCGAGCACCCCCCCTCCCCAGGAGGCCCGAGCAAGCCTCAGGAAGCCCCCATGAAGCAACCAGGAGGCCGCAGAACGCCCCAGGCAGCTCCAGGAGGCACCCACGAGGCCCCAAGAGCGCCCCAGGATCCACAAAGCGTCGCGGACACCGAAAGCCCAGATGGCGCCCCTTGAGCTGTCGGTGCCAGCGACGCTCTGTGGACCCTGATGCCTTCCTGGGGCTTTCTGGGGGCCTCCAGGATTCCCTTGGGAGTTCTGGTGTCTCTTGATGGCTTCCTGGAAGTCCCGTCGCCATAACACCGCTCGATTTTGGCAGAACGGGTCCCCGTTTTTGCCCGCATCGGCCGGCCGGCGTTATGGCGCCCCCTGGGCTTTCGGTGCCCGCGACGCTTTGTGGACGGTGCGGCCCTCCTGGAGCTTCTTGGGGCCTCCTGGAGCCTCCTGGGGCGTTCTGAGGCCTCCTGGTGGCCTCTCTGGGGGCCTCCCGCGACTTGCTGGGGCTTTCTGAGGGAGGGTTGGCGCCATAACACCGCTCGATTTTGGAAGAACTGGTCGCCGATTTTGCCCGAATCGGCCGGTGTTATTCAGGAGGGAAAGAAACACACAGACACAATTAATCCTCGACTCCCAGGAAAATATAGGAAAATATGGGAAGTGGGGGGGAAGACAGAAACCCAGAAAATATCTGAAAATATGGGGAATATTTTTATGTGTGTGTATTTATTTGTGTGTCCTGGGGCCCCTTCAGTTATGGCGCCCCTTGGGCTCTCGGTGCCCGCGACGCCCTGTGGACCCCGAGGCCTCCCCGGGGCCTCCTGGGGGCCGCCTGGATGCCCTGGGAGTTCTGGTGCCGGCTGGTGGCTTCCCTGGGGGCCTCTTGGGGGCTTGTCGGGGCCTCCCGGGAGAAGGTTCCGTCGCCATTAGCGCCGCTGGATTTTGGCAGAACGGGTCCTCGATTCTGCCCAAATCGGCCGGTGTTAGGGCGCCCCTTGGGCTTCCAATGCCCGCGACGCTCTGTGGACCCTGCGGCCAACCAGGAGGCACCAGGACGCTGTGTGGACCCTGCGGCCAACCAGGAGGCACCAGGAGGCTCCTGGAGCGTCCCGGTGCCTCCTGGTGGTCTCCTGGGGCCTCCTGGGGCCTGCTTGGGCCTCGTGGGGGAGCGGCGGCCTGGGCGCCATAGCACGGCTCGATGTTGGAAGACCGCCGGCCCGAGTTTGCCCGAGGTGGTAGGTGTTATCCAGGAGGAAAAGAAACACACAGACACAATGAATCCTCCATTCCCCAGAAAATATGGGAAAATATGGGAAGTGGGGGGAAGACAGAAACCCAGAAAACATTGGAAAATATTGGATATTTTGATATTTTTATTTGTGTGTATTTATTTGTGTGTCCTGGGGCCCCTTGAGTTATGGCGCCCCCCTGGGCTTTCGGGGCCCACGCTTCGTGGACCTTGCGGTCCTCCTGGGGAGCCTCCTCCTCCTCCTCCTCCTCCTCCTTCCTCCTCCTGGGGCGTTATGATGCCTCCCTCAAGCAGTGGCGAAGCGTCCCGGCTCGCGTATAGCCCCACCAAACAATGCTCTAAGATTTTTGTTGAGGTTCCCACGACATGTTCTTAGAACAGTTCTGGCTGGGGCTGTCCTGTTTTAACACATCGGGTTCATGTTCAAGGAGCATTGTTTTTGTTCTTATGGGTTCTGAGAACATTTCGTGGTATGACTATAGGAATGCGGGGACGGTCGGTCCCTGCTCAACTCCTGGTGGTTTCATAGGGGGCCTCCTGAAGCTCGCTGGGGCCTCCTGGGAGGGCGTCTCGGCGTCGCAGCACTGCTCGATTTTGGAAGAACGGGCTTCTGAGTATGCCCAAAGCGGTCGGTGTTATGGCGCCCCTTGGGCCGTCGTTACCCGCGGCGTTTTGTGGACCCTGCGGCCCTCCTAGGTCTTCTTGGAGCCTCCTGGGGGCTTCCTGGAGGGGGCGACGCTTGCGGCAAGCTGCGGTAACCGAAAGCTAGCGGCAAGCAGAGGCGGCGCGGTCAGCGGCTAACACATTGGTTTCTGTTTGTGGCAAGCGGCAAGCGACAAGAATCACTGAGCTTTGCGGCAAGCGGTAGAGGCCCACCCCCAAACGGTAACTACAAAGATCCTTAGTTCGATTGTAGCTCTAATCCAGTTCGGCTCCAGGTCGACTCGATCCCGACTCTGGTCAGGCTCAAATGTGATTCAAGTTCGGTTTCGCCCATCGTGGGCCCATGAGCGTTGTATACGCCTCCCTGGACAAGCCAGGAGGGCGCACACACCGCTAATGGGCCCAGGATTGCCATGAGCAGTTGATACGTTAGACGCTCGGGGGCCTTCCTGGAGCCACTTGCTCCACTCATGCGTCGATGCTGCGTCGACCGTCTGTCAACTTGTGTCGAACTAGAGTCGAACCAGAGTCGAGCTAGAGTCGACCTGAGGCGAACTAGAGTCGACCAAAACTGTTAGATGGGCCCCAGGAAGGTCCTCGGAACGAGCACACCAGATATGTGCAGACATCGCCACCCGACCTGAACATTATTTCACGGTCCCGGGGTCGGGACGTGGCCTCCAGAGGCGGAACTCACAGAAAAGCTCCCCCCCGCTTACGCGGTGTTTGTGATGCGCCGCCTGGGTCTAAGGCTCCCTCCTCCCTTTCTCCTACCTCATCCTTCCTCCTCCCTCGCTTCCTCTTCCCTTCTTCCTTCTTCCTCCTCCTCCCTCCTCCCTCCTGTAACCGTGGCACACCCGAGGGACTGGTCGATAGCGGCCCGCTCGCAGACGTGGCAGTTGGGTAAGTGATCTTCCCCCCTCCTCCTCCCTCCTCCTCCTCCTCCTCCTCCTCCACCTCCTCCTCCTTGCGTGCGTGGGGGTGCGGAGTCGCCCAAGGGAAGTGGCGCACCCTCGGGTGGCTTGGGGCGGCACGATGGTGTCGTAATCTGAGCCCTACGGGGCGGACGCAGCCCGGAAAACCGTGTGGTAGGTGGCGAGCGAGCTGGCCCTGCGAGCTGGAGGTGGAGTTCGGAGTTTTGCTGCTGCGGTGGGTTGAAGACCCCCGTGACGGCACAGTGGCATGTGGCTGCAGTTGTTGATATGTTTCTCCCCTCACCCTCCTCCTTGGCTCGTTTCGTGGAGGCCGCCTGGAGACCGTGCCTGGTGGGAGGCATGGGGCGGCACCCGACGCGGCGTCGTTTTGTGGAGGGCTCGCGTGCAGTCTGTTTCTGCGCCGCCTGCCGCTCGCTTGCGCTCCTTTGCCCCTTGGTGCAGGCCGTGTCAATGTGCACGTAAGTCCTTTGCGTTCCACTGTGAGACTGTGGAATCATCCCGATATTTCCTCCTCCCTCCTCCTCCTCCTCCTCCGCCTCCTCCTCCTCCTCCTCCTCCTCCTCTTCCTCCTCCTCCTCCTCCTCCTCCTCCTCCTCCTCCTCCTCCTCCCAGTCGCTGCGCTCCCCCAGCCTCCATTCCTCACTCCCTTCTCCCCTCCTCCCTCCTCGCTCCCTCCCTCCCTCCTCCCTCCTCCCTCCCTCCCTCCCTCCCTCCACCTCCTCGTTTCCTCCCTCCTGCCTCCCTCCCGTCCCCTCCCTCCCTCCCCCCTCCCTCCTCGTTTCCTCCCTCCTGCCTCCCTCCATCCCTCCCCCTCCCTCCTGCCCTCTCCCCCTCCGTCCCTCCTCCGTCCTTCCTCCTCCCTCCTTTCTCCCCCGCGCCATTCTCTTCCTCCTCCTTCTCCTCTCCTCCTCCTCCTCCTGCGCCTCCCCTCCTCCTCCTCAACTTCCTCCTCCTCCACCTCCTCCTCCTCCTCCCTCACCTCCTCCTCCTCCTCCTCCTCCTCCTCCTCCTCCTCCTCCTCCTCCTCCTCCTCCTCCCCCATCCTCCTCGTTCTCCTCCTCTTCCTCCTCCTCCTCCTCCGCCTCCGCCTCCTCCTCCTCCTCCTCCTCCTCCTCCTCCTCCTCCTCCTCTTCCTCCGCATCATCTCTCATCCCTGCTCCCTGCCTCCGCGAGGCGTGAGTTCCTGGCCGCCGCCAGGTCCGACCCTGGCATCGCCGCGGCCGACGCGCTCATGTGCCCGCGGCCGAGAAGCGCCTCCCGATCGCCAAGACGACGCCGCGCAGCCCCGCGGGCGGGGCGGGAGCCGTTTCCGAGCGTCTTCGGCGGCTTTCTGAGAGTTTCCACCTTCGGGGTGATTTCCAGTCACCCCGGTTGATGGGCCTGTTTCCCACCACCACCACCACCTTAAGTTGGAGGGGGGAGGGGGTCCTCCTCCTCTTCCTCCTCCTCCTCATCCTCTTCCTCCTCCTCCTCCTCCTCCTCCTCCTCCTCTCCTCCTCCTCCTCCTCCTCCTCCTCCTCCTCCTCGTCATCATCATCATCATCATCATCATCATCATCATCATCATCATCATCATCATCCTCTTCCTTCCCCCCATCCAGCTTACGGTGGTGGTGGTGGAAAACAAGCCCATCACCGATCGTCCCGAACGGCTGCCGGGGGCAAGAGTTCCCACCCAAGAGCCATGGGGATCCAGATCTCCGACGATGTCGTTTGAGCAAGCTGGCTGTGGCAGGCGATCAGTAGAGACGAGGCACGCTGCCAAGCACATTGGCTATTGTTCATGCGCCTGGCGAAGAACCCCACCATATGCAGTTAGGAGTACCGCAAGTGTGACTGGTGTCTGAGGTGAAATTCCCTGTGCGGCAACGCTCGCATGCGGGCTGTGTCGCTGGGGCCTTCAGTGGAGCTCTACGAAACGTGCGAGGGGTGTGCCAGAAAGGGGGTGCCGCCCACATGCGGTCTGTGTCGTTGGGGCCTTCAGTGGAGCTCCACGAAACATGTGCGGGGTGAGCTGGAAAAGGGGTGTCGCCCACATGCGGTCTGCGCCACTGGGGCCGTGGGTGGAGCTCCCTATGGGGCCACGAAGCGTGTGAAGGGGTCGGCTGCGCCACTGGGGCCTTAGGTGGAGCTCCGTATGGGGCCACGAAACGTATGAGGGGTGTGCCCAAACGGGGGTTTCGCCCAAATGCAGGCTGCGCCACTGGGGTCTTATAGGTAGAGCTCCGTGAGGAATTGAAGGAAGGAAAGCAGCAAGGAATGAGTGACGCGGAGCGCTGTTTTTCAGAACGAGGACCCAACACCACAGGATGGTTGGGAAACAATCTTCAAGCATGGAAACACATGCCCTGACATGCTTTAAACGACATGCTTCAAAATATTTCAAACACATTAGTGTGCCCATTGTCACGTTCAGTGATCGGACTGTTCGAGTGTGCGCTTCTCCTCGGGTTCGGCCCCTCGGACCCGTGGCGAGGCTCCCCCGGGCCGAGGAGGAGGAGGAGAAGGAGGAAGAGGAGGAGGACGAGGAGGGGGAGGAGCAGGAGGAGGAGCGGGAGGGGGAGGAGCAGGAGGAGGGGGAGGAGGAGAGGGGGAGGAACAGGGGAGGAGGAGGAGGAGGAGGAGGAGGAGGAGGAGGGGAGGGGGAGGAGGGGGAGGGGGAGGAGGAGGACGAGGACGAGGACGAGGACGAGGACGAGGAGGAGGAGGAGGAGGAGGAGGAGGAGGAGGAGAAGGAGGAGGAGGAGGCCCTCCACAAGGACGGCTCCGGGGCGCGCCACCGGCCCCAGGGAAGGGGCCTCGGGGCCTGCGGGGCCGAGGGCGGGGGAGACGCGCCCCGGCGGCTGCCGGGGCTGCGGGTGGGGGGGAGGCAGGCCGCCCGTTCCTTTCCTCCCGCCTTGTTCTCGTCATTGTTCGGGTATATCTAGGGGGAAAACAAACCTACCTCGCTTTTGACCACCCTCGCTTCCAAGAGATACCAAACGATGCCAAATTGCAGCCTGTACTGGTCAGGCCGCTTGACGAGGAGGCGCGTGGTATGGCTTGGTTTTACGTGGAAGCGAAAGCGGGGTAGGTAATTCACGCTCTGAATATCAGGAGGGGAAAAAAAACACAGACATAATTAATCGTCGACCCCCAGGAAAATATGGGAAAATATGGGAAGTGGGGGGGGAGACAAACACCCAGAAAATATGGGAAAATATGGGGAATCTTTTTATTTGTGTGTATTTATTTGTGTGTCCTGGGGCCCCTTCAGTCTAGCCAGGACCCCGGTTAAGGGGAGCTGGTTAGTAATTGGGCCCCGACGCCCAAACTATGTATTGGAATCACTGAACCAGGTCTGCCGTAGCTGGTGTGTTTTCGGGTGACGGCGGTTCCGGTCAGTGGAATGGGACGGGGGGGGCGTCCCCGGTATCACTCAACCAGGTCCCACTAGACCCAGTTCTGCCAACGCCCGAATTGTTTAGGCCTCATGTTCTCGGAGCCTCGTCCTGCTTCTCAGCACATCCGCTCGTTCGGAGGGGGTGTCGTGGCAGGCCTACGGGAATGCCAGGACGGTCGGTCCCTGCTCAGTCCGCCTCGCCCGCGTTGGTGCGCGTCGGTGCGCCGAGGCTCGGAGCCCCCCTTCTTCTGCGCGCTCTTCCTCGGCCTCGGGAAGCCGATCGTAGGCGCGCGGCCCGCGGAGCCGGGCCGGGGCCGGTGGTCGAGGCTTCGGGTGGTCTGGGCGCTCTTGCCGGCGTCGGGAGCCCTTGCATCGGGCAGGCCCTTTGTGGGCCCCGGGAACGGCAGGGCCGTTGTGTCACCGTTTCCAAAAATTATCCCGGCAAAGCAACCTAACAGCGATGTGTAGGAGCATATCTGGAAGCATTCCCCTTCAGATTCAGATGAGAATCCAGTTGTAGAATTCTGCTGTTCTCGCAGTCGTAGTCGCATTCGCGATGACAGTCGCAGTGGCAACGGCAGTCGCAGTCACAGCCTCAGCCTCAGCCTGCCTCAGCCTCAGCCTGCCTCAGCCTCAGCCTGCCTCAGCCTCAGCCTCAGCCTCAGCCTCAGCCTCAGCCTGCTCAGCCTCAAGCCTCAGCCTCAGTCAGCCTGCCAGCCTTCAGCCTCAGCCTCCTCAGCCTCAGCCTGCCTCAGCCTCAGCCTGCATCAGCCTCAGCCTCAGCCTCATCCTGCCTCAGCATCAGCCTGCTTCAGCCTCAGCCTCAGCCTGCCTCAGCCTCAGCTCAGTCTTCAGCCTCAGCCTCAGTCTGCCTTCAGCCTCGGCCTCAGCCTCAGCCTGCCTCAGCCTCAGCCTGCCTCGGCCGCAGCATCAGCCTGCCTCAGCATTTGGCCCAGGAGTGGAGTTCTGGGAACTAGAAGAACACGAAGTGGCCTACAGTTGGCTCCGGGCATTCAAAATCATGCCCAGGAATGGAGTTCTGGGAACTCGAAGAGCACGAAGTGGCCTACAGTTGGCTCCGGGCATTCAAAATGTGGCCCGGGAATGGAGTTCTGGGAACTCGAAGAGCACGAAGTGGCCTACAGTTGGCTCCGGGCATCCAAAATGTGGCCCGGGAATGGAGTTCTGGGAACTCGAAGAGCACGAAGTGGCCTACAGTTGGCTCCGGGCATCCAAAATGTGGCCCGGGAATGGAGTTCTGGGAACTCGAAGAGCACGAAGTGGCCTACAGTTGGCTCCGGGCATCCAAAATGTACGCCGGGAATGGAGTTCTAGCAGCGCCAAGAGCGATTTTGCGAGGATGTCCAAAGCGATTTGGGCTTCGACGGCAGCCGCGCCGGGTCCCGCCCCGGGTCCCGCCCCGACCCCCCTGAGGAGTCATGATGCTCTCTTTTGACCCCACTAGAAACCTATCAGTCTTCGATGTTAGGTAAAAAATGTCTCTTGAAACTGGAAACGGCAAAAAGACGGCGACCGGAAACGGCAACAAAAAACGGCTCCAGGATTGGAACCGGAGCCGGCACCCGGTCAAACACCGGCGACGGAATTGGTTAAAAAAACACAAAACGGAACCGGTAAAAAAAACGGCCCTGTCGTTTCCAGGGCCCACTAAGGGCAGGCCTAAGTTCGGGATGCATCGCTTCAGAGCGCTCTGGAGCGATCTCACAGCCTGCCAGGGGACTCCTTTGAACGGCCTCGGCGCCCGATGCATCCTCCCCACCCGCTAGATCTCAGAGATCCTCGATAAGGAAGGCCTTGCGGCTGGTGCCGCCGACCCTGAACGGGGACGCGGACGACGGCGGCGGCGGCGACGACGACGCTGACGCTCTGGAGCCCTTCTTGGGGCTCGGATTTCTTGGGAAGCTCCGTGGTCACTTGGAGCTGCCGCGGAGCAGATCTGAGACTCTTTGGAGGCATTTCGATAGGAAAGCACGCAGCACCCCGCAGCAGCATATAAAAGTGAAGAGAGTGCTTCGGGGGGGGGGGGGGGGATCCGTGAGGAGGCGGGGACTGTTTTTTTTGGTTCAGAGGGGGGAGGCGCGGGGAGGGGTGCTGAGTTCCCCCTGTCCACACGGGGGCCACCTCCTTGTCGTCCCCTTGTCCACCACGGGGGGGGGTCCCTCGGGGGGGGAGGTCACAACCCTTCGAATCCTCCTGCCCCCGGCCCGGGAACCCCTCGCTACCTCCTCCCCCCCCCCCCCCCCCCCCCCCCCCCCCCCCCGGAGAACCCCTCCGCGCTCACCCCCTCCCCCGCCAGGGAAGGGATCAAAGCGAAGGGGCTTCCCTTCACTTCGAATCAATTGCGACGTTGTTTGACTCCCGTCTGGCTGGTTCGCTTGAGGAGGAGGGCCCAGGGAAAGGGGGAGCGGCGGCGGCGACGACGTCGAGGGCGCCCACGTCAACAAGTATGCAGAGTGATCGCTTGGTGTCCAGGCGTGATCCAGATTTTGCCGCAAAGTGCACTTGAAATTGTTTTGTTGAATCGCTTCGCTCATTCCGCCAGCCCATCTATCGCGCGTGGAAGCCTTGTGTTGCTTCCTGGGGCCTCTTCAGGCGCAAGGCTCGAATCGTCAGTTCGTGCTCTCCCATCTTGGGCCCGTCTTGGGGCAGTTTTCGGGCCTTCTCGGGCGGTCTTGGGGGCCCCTGGGGCCGTCGTGGAGCTTCGGATGCTCGAACAAGCGACTGCGTGAAACACATTGAAGAACCAATCAAAATCATTGAATTTCGTCTCTGTGGGCCCTCTTGGGGGAGGACCTCTTGGAGCGGTCTTGGGGCTTCTTTGGGGCCTCTTCGGCTGTCCTTGAGGCATCTGTGGCCATCTTGGCGGCTTCGATGGCCTTCCCGGTCCGTTTTGTAAGCCGTCTTGGGCATCTGGGACGAATTTTGGGTGCATTGAGGAGCGCCTGGAACCCATCCCACCGTTGTGCGATTGTTGTGGGTCAGAATCGTCAGGGATGCCCGTGGCGAGCGAGAAGGATGAGGACGAGGAGAAGGAGGAGGAGGAGGAGGAGGGGAGGATGAGGATGAGGAGGAGGCCTCTCGATCGCTTGGGGCATTCGGGGGCCACACTTGATCGTGGACAAGACGCCTGTTTGGGAGGCTGCTTGGCGTATCTTGGGAGGCCCTCGGGGGCCTCTTGGCGGTATGTTTGGGACATCCTGGGGCCTCTTGGAGGCCTAGTAGAGGTCTCTTGCAAACCTCTTGCGGGCTTTTGGGGCCTTCTCGGGGCCTGTCGGGGCCGAGAGCTGAAATGTCCGTTCGGGTGCCTCGTCATGGCCGTTTCTTGGAGCTCTCTTGGGTGCCCCTTGGGCTGTATTCGAGGGCTCTTGGGCTGTCTTCGGGTGGGGACATTTTGGGGCCCTCGGAGGAGTCCTGGGCCGTATTGGGGCGACCTGGGTGGCCTCTTGGGCAGTCTTGGAGCGCGGGTAAAACGAAAATGCGAGAACGCCAAAATCCTCCGAGAACCGCAGGACATCCATTGCTTTATGCATCTGGGGGGCCCTCTTGGGAGGACTCTTGGCGGCCTCTTGGGGCTTTTGATGGGCGCCTTCGGCCATCTAAAGGCCACATTGGGCGTCTTTGACCGATCGTTCGACCGTCTTGGGGGTCTGTTGGGGCCCTCTTGGAGCGCTCTGGAGAGCCTGAAGGGCGGCGCCCAGAAGGAAAACCATCTCTGACCCGAACCGGCCGGGTTACTTTTCGCCTGGGGATCCCCAGGGGCCGCCCCGCGCGCGCGAAGTAGAAAAACCGTAAAGCAGTTACCAGAGATTTTAGCACGCCTCTGGCCCGCTTGGCCGGCGAATTTTTCACAAGGGTGGCGGGTGGACGGGTGGTCATGGTTCAGAGTTTGGCCCCCTCAAGTGTGGGAGTGGGTGCACGCGGACGAGGGACATTGTCCACGTTACTCATAAGCCGCCAGCCGCCCCCGCTCATCCCCATGCGCCATCCCATCACACGAGTAGCATCTGAGTCTCAGCATGGGCAGGGGTCGCCATCAACAGCCATCGGGAACCAGTGCAGGCACCAGCCAGGTGCGCAGCGCCCGTGAGGTACGCCGCGCGTGCCAGGGCACCCCCATCCTGCCTGTCAAACCAAAGCGCGAAACCATCGCGGGGCGCTTGCTCGTTGTGCAAGGCGTTGCCGCATCATGCTGTATGCATCTGCTTTGGACAGGACGGTTGGCCTGCGCATGCTGAACGCTGAGCCATAAGGAACACCACCCCGTCGCCCCAGTCATAGACCAAACCATCTGTACAGAGATCGCGGAGCGCCAGGACATGACACAGATATTTAGCCGCGACGTGTTTGCTGTATTGTGCATTGCCGCTGGCTGGGGGCCGGCAGAGTGGGGGGAGGGGAGGTATGCGAGTCAAGAACAGTGACAGACCGCTCCCCGAGCTGACTGATTGATGGTCTTGGAAGATGAAGAGAGCTGATGGGAGCCGACACCTGCCAGGTCTTCGGTGGCCATGGGGACGTGGAAGGACACACGTCTGTGTGCAAAATTGGCGTTATTCTCCAGAGCACGCGACAGTCTGGGCGCGAACGGCCCCGTGCCACGGCCTCTGCCGACGCCCCCGTGGGATGCCCACAAGCGAAGCCAGTTTCATACCGAGGTGGTCACGGGGCTCTCAAGACGGGCGCACTTCTACAGAGTATGGAAGCAAGCACGACGTCGGAGGTCGGAGGTGCGCATGTCTCGACTCGGTTCCCCGTGGTCAGTTTTTCGTTCCCGAGGCATTCAGGAGGGGAAAAGACACAGACACAATGAATCGTCGACTGCCAGGAAGCTATTGGAAAGTATGGGAAGTGGGGGGGGAAGACAGACACCCAGAAAATATAGGAAAACATGGGGAATCTTTTTATTTGTGTGTATTTATTGTGTGTGTCTCAGGGCCCCTTCAATTGAAGCAATCGCGACGTCGGAGGTCGGAGATGCGCATGCCTCGACTCAATTCCGGGCGATCCGCTTTCCGTTCCCGATGCGTGTTTTACCGCCGAAGAGCCCGAGAGCGGCATGCATGCGCCGAGCGCCACGGAACCTGTTTGTGTGCGTGCTTCTATCAGACCATGGAAGTCGCTAGCTCCTGATCGGGGATTGCACATTGAATTTGGGACCTCTCTCGAGGCGGGCTCTGCCTGAGCCTCGAGGCGAATCCAGCTGTGGCGACGAGAAGCCCCACGAGACGCTTCCCATCGGCCCAGAAGCAGCCACAAGCTCCAACCCCAGGTCTTCGCACTTCCGATGTCTTGATTTTTTCAACATGGCCCCTCAGACCTCTGGACTCAGGACCACTTCCTGGGGACCAGGAGCGTGTTTCCTTATTGCTTGGGGCATCATGGGCATTAGAGCCCCTGGCCACCCCCCAAAAGTAACGCCCCTACCCCCCAGTTTGCTGCGGGCACGGCCGCCGAGGGCATCCGGATCTCCATCGGCGTCCGCAGAGAAGTCCGCATATGAGCCTGGTCCGCACTGGGAATCTCATGGGGCTCCGCCTAGGGAGGAAGAGGAGGAGGAGGAGGAGGAGGAGGAGGAGGAGGAGGTGGAGATGGAGATGGAGGAGGAGGAGGGAAGAGGGAAGAATGTCGCATTCTATCATCAGCACTTCTCTGGCGTGGCGTTTAGCTGTTCGCAGCAGATCCTCACCTACATGCTCGTTCTACCTGTCCTGTGCACGCAGGCACTGTGGTGTACACCAGCGTTGCGTGCACGCGGATGTTGTGGTGGAGAGAGGCGCTGTGGTGTGCACAGGCGCTGCGGTGCACGCAAGCATTGTGGTGTACACAAGCGCTGTGCTGCACATGGTTGCTGTGGTGTTACACATTCGCTGTGGTGTATACACCGGCGTCTTCTTCGTCCCCTGCCGTTGTTCCTCGTCATCGTCATCGTCGGCTCCCCACGCCCCGTGGGAGGGTACATCGGGAACCCCTTCGGCGCCTACCTGAAACCCGGCGGGCCGCAGGCGCCGGGCCGCTCCCCCTTCTTCGCCCGTAGTGTCTCAGCAGCGAGGAGGAGGAGGAGACAGAACACACAGGCACGAATAATCGAAGAGACGGGAAAATATGGGAATGGGTGGAAGACGGAACTCCAGAACAGATGGGCAACTATGTGGAATCTTGGGACACCGTGTCTATTTCCCCATATCCTAAGGATTGGGGTTCTTGTTCCCCATATCCTAAGGATTGGGGTTCTTGTTATTACTCTGACGCCTCCCACTCCTCCTCCTCCTTCTTCTTCCTCCCGCTCGCGCCTCCCTCCTCCCAATGATAATCACCAGATAAGACAAGACAAGATAAGATACTACAATATCAGTTAAGATAGCACAAGATATGATAAGAAGAGATTTCAAGATAAGATAAGATAAGTTCAGCTCACACTCGCACTCTCTCATGATCACAAAACGCTGCCAGGGGCATCATTTGGGAGCCCCAAGGGGGAGCCACCCTGGCTGTTCTCACGAGCCCGTTCGCGCCGATTTTGGTGGGACGTCTCAGCTAGAATTGCCGTTTGGCGCCCCCAACATGTATCTCTTGAGAGCCTCATGGTCACAAAACGCTGCCAGGGGCATCATTTGGGAGCCCCAAGGGGGAGCCACCCTGGCTGTTCTCACGAGCCCGTTCGCGCCGATTTTGGTGGGACGTCTCAGCTAGAATTGCCGTTTGGCGCCCCCAACATGTATCTCTTGAGAGCCTCATGATCACGAAACGCTGCCAGGGGCATCATTTGGGAGCCCCAAGGGGGAGCCACCCTGGCTGTTCTCACGAGCCCGTTCGCGCCGATTTTGGTGGGACGTCTCAGCTAGAATTGCCGTTTGGCGCCCCCAACATGTATCTCTTGAGAGCCTCATGGTCACAAAACGCTGCCAGGGGCATCATTTGGGAGCCCCAAGGGGGAGCCACCCTGGCTGATCTCACGAGCCCGTTCGCGCCGATTTTGGTGGGACGTCTCAGCTAGAATTGCCGCTTGGCGCCCCCAACATGTATCTCTTGAGAGCCTCATGGTCGCAAAACGCTGCCAGGGGCATCATTTGGGAGCCCCAAGGGGGAGCCACCCTGGCTGATCTCACGAGCCCGTTCGCGCCGATTTTGGTGGGACGTCTCAGCTAGAATTGCCGTTTGGCGCCCCCAACATGTATCTCTTGAGAGCCTCATGATCACAAAACGCTGCCAGGGGCATCATTTGGGAGCCCCAAGGGGGAGCCACCCTGGCTGATCTCACGAGCCCGTTCGCGCCGATTTTGGTGGGACGTCTCAGCTAGAATTGCCGTTTGGCGCCCCCAACATGTATCTCTTGAGAGCCTCATGGTCGCAAAACGCTGCCAGGGGCATCATTTGGGAGCCCCAAGGGGGAGCCGCCCTGGCTGATCTCACGAGCCCGTTCGCGCCGATTTTGGTGGGACGTCTCAGCTAGAATTGCCGTTTGGCGCCCCCAACATGTATCTCTTGAGAGCCTCATGGTCACAAAACGCTGCCAGAGGCATCATTTGGGAGCCCCAAGGGGGAGCCACCCTGGCTGATCTCACGAGCCCGTTCGCGCCGATTTTGGTGGGACGTCTCAGCTAAAATTGCCGCTTGGCCTCCCCAACATGTCTCCCTTGAGAGCCTCATGGTCACAAAACGCTGCCAGGGGCATCATTTGGGAGCCCCGAGGGGGGCCACCCTGGCTGATCTCACGAGCCCGTGACGAGAGAGAGAGAGAGAGAGAGAGAGAGAGGAAGCGAGAGAGAGGGAGAGGAGAGAGTGAGAGAGAGAGAGAGAGAGAGAGAGAGAGAGAGAGAGAGAGAGAGAGAGAGAGAGAGAGAGAGAAAGAAGAGAGAGAGAGA